GAACCACTCTACTGCAATCCCAGAAATACGTTGCTGTGTGATTAAGTGACGGAGGCCAGAGTCTGAGGGACTGGCGGAAGTTTAGATGTTCCTAACCTTATCTCTTACCTTTATATACAAGAAAAGGTAGCTGATCACAGGACCCATAAAACTGAACCAAGAAGTCAGCCCTTACCCTCTGGTCCTGTGCTCTTTTGTATCGTCTCTCTGCTTAATATTCCAAGAAACTACGGCCACACTCTGCAATGACAGGGCTACTTACAAATGCTATGTAATTCCTCCTGGAGAGAAAGCTAGGTTAGCTCTCTCTCATAACTCAAGGCCTGAAGTTTATTCCTTTAATCTTACAAAAGCAAACAGAAGGACAGAAATAACCCATTAATTGTTTAAAATTAAAATGACCACCACTGATAAATAATTGCCACGATAGTTTGAGGTCACGGTCTTAATTTATTGGAGTCTATTCAAGAATTTGCAACTTTTCTTGGAGTTAATTTTTCACATCTTGTTTGGATTCTCAGAGCTCTTGCTTCCAAAGCAAGGCCATCCGATTTCTCATCGCCTGTGTTATTCTTGTTGCCGTGCCAGACATGCAGAAGAGTGAGGTCCTCTTTTCATGGATGGGTAATGATGATTCCCTTGCAGAAATCAGTTTTCAAAGTATTGTAGCCTATGGAGATTTTGAATAGCTCTCTTGTCTTGCCTGCTGCATCAGCTGTATTGATGTTTGTTAATCTCTTCTCTGACGTGCTTTAATAGCTGTATTTGTTGCAAACAACAAAAACATATGTTGGTTTGTTTAAGCAGAAAAGGAATTTATGGGAAGAATATGGGCTAGTTCAGAGTATAGGCAGCAGGCAGAGGAGGCATGCTCAGCTCAGGATGCCACCTCTGAGCTCTCAACTCCTCCTCGCCTGTAGCCACCTCAGACGTCCCCAGTGTCATGGTGCAACTCTCAAAACTCATAATCTGGGTGGGAGCATCTGTCACCATATTAAGGCTACTTGACCACCTTTTTTTTTTTTT